GTCCTGTTTTAGTAGCAAGAGCTTAGTAACAGTTACGAAGCGGGAGAGTCTCTTGATTTCATTATTTCAGTACTGGGCATGCCAAACAACCAGATGGCTTTAAATATACTAACAATTGGTGGCAGCAGAAAGGAGTCAGCTTATGAAATGCTGGGTTACAGTGGCAGAGAGTTCCTTAGGTCCTGAAATACAAGCACTTTGCTAGAGAAAAAAAATTAAAAGCCATGAGTGGTATTCTGTGGTATTCTGCAGTGAGAAAACAAGCTTCCCCATAACCACACAGAATTATCCATTGAGGGAAGTAAAATGAACATGAAGACTGCACATTTTCAAATAATATTTTGAGGTGAAAGGTATACAACGACCACACAGCATACTGCCATAGCCTGTTCTGTTTACTTTGATAGTGTACCCATGAATTAATTCTGTTGGATTTTAAAGTTGTTCTTTGCTGGCTGTAGAACTTTCCAAAGAAATTTTAAATGTATGGTGACCACTGGTGATTAAAGTTGCTCTCCAGTATTTCTGCAAGAGCAAGGATGTGACCTGGTTTTCATTTTGCTGCCCTTTTGGATAGATATCCCCAATCGAGGGATAATACATGATTGCAGAACCCAGACACTGTCGTTTGATCATGGGTTAAACAACCCACAGTTTACCTATAATTACTAGTAGGTTACTTATCCCATGTGTAGCTTATACTCAGGATCCAGTTGCCATGTAATAAGCCCTGATTTGGGCTGAAATGTTCAAAAGGTTGCAAAGTACAGCTAGCAATTAACCCACAATGTGTTGCTATTACACACAAAACCCCTGATATAAATGCGGAATTTCAAACCATGTGGACAAATTCCATTTGATAATTCCATACTTCTTTGCTAAATTCCCTCAATAGCTTCTTTCATTTTTCTCTTCTTGTCCTCGGGTGGGTTTGCTGTTTTTGTGTGCTGAAGGAGAGCAATTGCATTTCACCATTATGCTAAAGGAACAATGATTGGTACAATACCATTGTTGGAGGCTAATAAAATCCCAGATGTGACCAGTAGCAGCTGTGCTACTTAGATTAGATATAGTTAAAATGCTGTAATAGCAGGTGGCCCAGTGTGGTAATGGTGTGCTTTCCAACCTAACCAGTCCTGTACCATAACTTTAATCCTTTGTTTAATTCTTCCAAGTTGCCTGAGTGGTCATAAAGTAATTGGATTAGGGATAAGCAGTCATGAAAGATGCTGCTTTCCCAGTGCTTATTGAACAGGTGTTGCAGTGGAGCTTTGAGTTCTTGGCAGCAAGCGCTAGTTAACTGTGCTTCACATCTGATATTTATCTGCTCTGTAGGAGAGATGGCAGCTGACGAATTCTTTTTTCATGGCTACAAGATGAACCACATAAAATAGGGAAGGAGCCATGGCTTTCCACATTCATGTTGTGAGGGTACCTTTCAAATGTATGTGTTTCTACACAAAGCTGTGCAGTTAACTTCTCTGCCTTTTGGCCCCCTGTCCCTTTTTTTAGAGCCTGAACTAAAATTAACATGGCCTTCAGATGTGAGCTGATCCTATCATGGGCTGCAATGATTTGGGCAAGAATGGAATGGCTAAATTGTCCTTCATGCCTGTTAATGTATAGTTCAGCAAACTAATTTGCTCCATGTTAGGAGTGAGTCATAGTTTAATCCCCCCCAACTCCCATCCAGCAAGTATTGAAATGGTACTTTGCACCACCCTGCAGAGTGCACAAGAAGCTTCATAGTCCTGTGGTGTGTTAACACAATACTGTGGCTGGACTGTGTGTGTCAAAACCTTTTTAACATGGGACAGAACTTGTGGCCATGTCTGTGGTATAGGTGTTGTTAACATTACGAAGCTAGTCAGTATTCCCCAACCTGGTGCTCTCCAGATACTTCAGATTGCACTTCCCATGCTCCTTTTCCATTGGCAGAATGTCTGGTACTGATAGGGTTTGTCATCAGTGATGTGTAAGACTTGAGACTTTACTCCAAGTCTCAAGTCAAGTCTCAAATCTTTACTTTCAAGTCCATGTTGAGTCTCAAGTCATTGCAAGAAATGTTCGAGTCAAGTCTCTTTTCAAGTCTCTCTCTCTCTGCCTGCTTGTCACTTCCTCTCACTGCTTCCTTCATGCCAAAAAGAAGAGCCCTCCCTTCCCACTTTTGCAATCCCCTCCCTCTCCAGCCCCCACCCCTTGAAATGCCCTCCCTCCCACCACCGACCAGGATATCCTGCCACACATCAGATGTGGGTAGTAAGCCCTGGAGTGACTCAGTGGTAAAAACAGCAGAAATCTTGAGCTGAGTCAGGTCACTTGCTTGTTGCTCCCGCATTGAGTCCCAGTCCTGTTGGTGCTGTATCTTCAGTTGGACTTGGGAGTGAGTCTCCTGACTCACGCCCCCAACACTGCTTGTCACACATCAGATGTTCTACACTATATTTTGCATAAGGCTGTAGTACTTTGTGAAGCAAGAAGATACAGAAGCAGACATTAAGCAGCTTCATGCTGGCTGGAGGTGAATTTGGCTGGTGGGAAAGAACAGTCCCTGATCAGAATACACTCCCATTATAGTGGCCCTTAGACAAGGTGCCAGCAATGAACCACTGGAGCTGGAAGAGGCAGGTCACTTGATCTGTCTGTCCAGTGGAGTAGCCCCTTGGTTAAGTATTCATTGGCAAGCTGGTTTTTATAGTTCCTTCTCTGTCATTCAAAACAGATTTTGTGTCAGCGTTGCTGCATACTGCCACATGGTGATTCAAAGCAAATAGTGTAGCTTTGTGCATCAACTGCCGCCACAACTTGGTGCAAGTTGTCGAATTTCTCTGGCCAGCCCCCGTGTGTGTGCAAAGAAAACTGCCAGGTCAAAGTGGCAGATATAGACAGTTATTGTAGCATAAAACACAGGTAAATAAAACCCAGGTGACTGGAAGGAATTGTAAACTCTCCTTTGTGACACCAGGTGCACTTGGTGTAGATTCCCAGCAAAAGAGGGACAGATCTTAGGCTCACTGTACCCACGTGCAAATGCCTCTGCTTGTGTGTGTTGTACTTTATTAACAGATATAGGCTGCCCATTTAGCATATACAGTTGCTATAGCAACTGAGGTTTCCTTAGCAACAGTGCCAGAAAATAATCCAGTACCAATTAAAAATAAACTGTTAGCCAGGGGAGGGGGCAGCAGTGGGAAGAGCAGAATTCCTGTGAATTGCTTCTGTTCCCTTATGGCTTTTTCATCCCAAGGACTCGGAGCAGTGGCACAGACATGAAATAACCTTCTTCTGCTCTGAACTAGCCAGGAAGGTGTGCTGGGTCACGTTGCCTCCTCTTGGTGGCTAAGGTTATTCTTCTGAAATTAATAAGGTGGAAAGTATCTACTCAGCAGTATGAACCTAAGCCTCCCTATTAGAACAGGCTCCCTTGAGAGAAAAGCCAAGGGCTCCTTTTCTCTTATAAGTCATGTCATTGCATAGCACAGCTATCTGGTCTTTATTAGCATACTGATTAAAGCCAACTGCAATATAGGCTCCAGGGAAACTTCTTAATGGGTTGCCAGGATGCATAAACCTTTCAAGATGTATTAGAATGGTAAAGCTCTATTGTCATGAGAAATGCCTCTTTCAGAATGTTTTGTGTTTGACCCTTTTTTATATTTCCTCCAAAGCAGAAGGATAGGCAAGGGTTAACAGAATGGAGGTTTGTATTGTTTTAAAAATCAACAGGAACACACACAGAGAGAACAAACCACATTATATTAAAGTTTTGCCCTTACTTACAACATTGTTATATTCCAGAATTACAATTCCATGGGACAGTGCTATTCTAAAGAAAAATGTTATTTCATTTTTATAGTGCCTCTTGCTCTAAGGATAACTTTAGGAGTAGGCACAAGAAACACAGTTTCTGTAATAGATGCTACTATAGGTATTCTTCACTAAAAAAAAAAAACCCTGGAAGTAGCAATGGAGCCTTAATTTCAATTACTATATTCTAGGTCAGCCTACCCAAGCTGGAACCCCCCAGATCCTTGGGCTACAACCTCCATCATCCCTGGCCATTGCCCATGTTTGCTTGGGCTGATGGAACTATAGTCCAAAACAACCAGAGGGCACGAGATTTGGGAAGACTGATGTTCTACATATTAGCTGGAGTGGCTATTGTATAGGAGTCTCTATTTTTTTCCCACTGTTCCCCAAAACTGAAATGTCACCATGAAGATACTTGCATGATCAGTTATCCTGGGATAATAGCACAAATAGCTTCAGTTTCCTATTAGAATAATCCCTTGAATTTGTAAGCAAAGGTTGAAGCAAGCTGAAAGAAAGGGAAAGCACTCTGGTAAAATGGTATCTTATCACTCACCTTTTTTTCTTAAGAAAGAAATGCATAATATATAGAGTTGTGCTTTACCTGGTTGGCTTTTGTGACTATAAGACTGTCTGCTAAGAAAAGCTCAGGTGGATAAATCTGAATAGGGGCTGGGCACTAATATGGAAGAATAGGCAGACATAACAGACGTAAGGCAGAAGTAAGTAGGCTAAATGTGGCAGGCAGTTCCCATTCTCCAGAGTCTGAAGCCAGAACTGATAGCTTGAATGTTGGAGGACTGTGATGAAGATAGAAGTGGGTCTGAGGAAAAACATGGATGAATAAAATGCAGAAGCAAAGCAAAAGTGAGACGCAAGTATTTGATACTCATAAGGCTGCATCTGAGAGAGACCTGCTGGGCAAAGTTTAGTTAATTGATACAAAAAAGGAGAGACAGTGTAAATAGATTAGGATACTATAAAATATTCCAAAACATAGTTGGTTGCATTAACACAGTTGAAAGGAGAGGTATTCTGCACATACTTCTGCAAAAGCATTCCAAATAGATGAGATAGAATGAAACAGCTAACAAATAAGGTTGCTTTCTATAGTAAAGAAATACCACTTTTTGTCATTCTCACTTTGACTGATCTGTCTCCCCTCCCCACCCCCACTTTTCTCTCCTCAGTGACAAAATTGCAGGTCAGCAAGTCAAAGCGGAGCATCGTCCTTGTTGAGAGCAGACCCATCCCTCTGAACTGCTCTGTGAAGTCTCAGACTAGCTCAGACTCTCATTTTGCTGTCCTGTGGTATGTTCATAAACCCTCTGACACAGATGGGAAGCTCATCCTGAAGACCACCCACAACTCGGTGTTTGAGTATGGTACCTATGCAGAAGAGGAGGGGCTGAAGGGGAGGCTGCAGTTTGAGCGTTCCTTGTCTGGAGGGCTCTTCAGCCTCACAGTCCAGAGGGCCCAAGTCAGTGACAGTGGCAGCTACTACTGCCACGTGGAGGAGTGGCTGCTCAACCCCAACCATGCCTGGTATAAGTTGGCTGAGGAAGTTTCTGGTCGGACTGAAGTCACTGTCAAGTTACCAGGTAGGACTGTGCAGCATGGGACAAACAGGAGGGGGATACTCTGTTTCACAGGGCCAGATCACCCAAGAAACAAGTCAGTTCTTCTCAGGGGATATTTCGTGTCCAATAGTCTGCTCTGCATCTACTGCCCTGTTTTTGACCACTACCGGCTGCAGCTTCCTGCCTGCATACTGCAGCCCAGTTTACACATTATAAATGAAGCAAAAGTGAGTAAGTGTGCTGGCTTCCAGTTGCCCATCTACTTTTGCTGATCCGAGTATCCCAGAGTTACTAATCCCTGAGATTAGTCCTCCCCAGCCTTCTGCCCTGGCTGGCTGGGGAGTTGGGGGTTGCCTCGTTGAGGAAGGCTGGCATAACTTTCCGTGGTTGAGAGTTGTTGTTGAGTGCCTTTAGTAAGTAACAAACTGTCCTGTTGAATGTGCGATAGAAGTGCTTTTGACAAAAGGACACTATCCTATATTCCCCCTTTGAGATGATAACTCATGGTTTGATAAGAAGCTGTCTGCTTCCTTGGGAAAGCTGCATACCATATCTCTGCTCTACCTGACCTCCAGGGAATCACTGGTTTCTGGGTTTTTTTGTTTTTTGTCTTTTTCATTTTGGCTGAGTCCTTTAATGGAGAAATGGCAAAAGAAAGGTGATTTCTGCTTGGGAGAGATGGCAATTTTCACCAACTATACATGGGTCCAGAAAATTTGTGGATAACTAAATATTGTGTTCTTGGAGGACTACTTTATTTTTTTGATGCCAGCACAGTTGAGATTTAACGGTGGCCTACATATTTGAGATTGGAAGAGGGCTGCTTTTTCACCTTTGAAAAATGATTACCATCCTTCTTAGTACTGAAATACAGAGGAAAGTATCCACAATTGAGACTGAAAGTGGGAACATCTAGTCTCTATAGTGCCTGGGTTTCTGTGTGTTCACTTGCACCAGGTGTCGAAGATGCCGTGTTGAAAGCTTCAAGCAGTATTGGATGCTGGCGCAGACATGAGATGAACCACAATGGTTTGCATTTGAGTTCTTGCATTTAACATGGAAGCATCTTGGAACGCCAGTGATACAAAAACAGGCTGTTTGCATTATTCCATAAAAGTTGGAGCCATGCTATCCAGGAAAGGCCAGAATCAAGGATAAGCATGATTTGACACCTGTTGAGGGATACATTCCATCAGGGGCCCCTGGAATTGCTCTTCCTCCTCAGTTACACCTGCTGGTTTGCCTGCCTCTCCTTCCGGCCCAGGCAGCAGTGGTAGTGAACAGAAGGAGCTCTGCCTGCTTGCTTACACACTGGATCTCTGCCTGCCAAGCAAGCAAGTGCTAGCAGTGATGAGGAGCAATAGCAGCTGGTGACACTGGCGGAGAGAAAAGGTTGACTCACTGAGGGAGGGGACCTACTGAGAGTGTCTTGCTCAGGGGCCCTCAGACACTGGAATCTATCCAGGAAATCACACTGGTATCTTTTAGCATTGCAGAGCAAATCATGCTAAATCAGTATTATATGTGTGCAATATTTAAACAACATTCTCTACCTTAATTTCCCCCTTGAATGGAGGCAATCCAAATGACAAATGAAATCATAATTAACATCATGAAATAAATGACAAGATATTAATCTAACTGAGCTCTAGGCAGCTGCTATGGAGGAAGTTATGTCTGATTAACACCAGATGTAAGGAGAGTTCTTAGTCTCTATTGAGGACCTGCTGCTGCTCCAGATAGTCTGGTTGGTACATATGTGTTCCCTATTTCTTATTAGTGATGATGTACCTAGAACATGCATGCCCTGTATTCACACTGTAAACTCTCACATTGCCTGTAGACACTTTCTCACTGCATTTGTAGAAGGAAATCCCTCAGTGTTCTTCAGAATCCAAAACCATGCTAAACAAGCTGCAAAACATAATGGAACCCAGTAACCATTCCTGGAGTGTGTTTTTTAAATCTTTATATAACACTATGAAAAATGGGTACAATATACAGAACCAAAACTAGAAAAGACTGCTGTTTTGGTATTGTTGAATGGCAAATTGATTATTGTTTTCTTGTGTCTTTGGTAGATAACCTCTTGGAAGTGAACCAGAGCCAGAGGAACCTAACAATCCTAGAAAATGAATGGGTGACATTAGAATGTCTGGTCACCAACCGGAGCAGCCGTGCTTCCCAGTTGTCTGTGGAATGGTATGTGTGGAAATCCGGCCACCCAGAGAAAGAGGCCATTCTAAAGCTGACCCGCCAAGCCACCCTGTTGTATGGAGAACTAGCAGCAGTGAATGATCTGAAGAACAGGCTGCGCATAGAAAGCCCTTTGCCTGGCCTTTATCTGCTCACCATCCAGAACATGACTGTGCAAGATAGTGGGACCTATGATTGTCGGGTGGAGGAGTGGCTGCTGAATCCCACAAATACCTGGTACAAGCGGGCAGAAGACCTGTCTGGGCTGACAACCATTACAGTGAAGCAGCCAGGTAAAGTAATTATATACTTGAGGCTTTGGACCACCAGTGCAGAGAGCAGGACAGAAAAGCTCAGCTACTGCTCACTAAATCTTAGCTGTATGAGATAACTATCTGTAAGACCACCAACTAAAATATATGCTTACCACTCAGTGACTAACAGTTTACTAGGCTGTCTGGTTAGCTGCTAGGTTGAGGAAATAAGTGTTTCCTCCCCTAATGAACTACTGACTCCACAGTTGTTCAGTCTAGATGCTGTTGTGCAAAGGCCTACAAGAAAAAGGTTGCTGGCATGGGGAAGCTTTGAAGGCCCACTTTGGGGAAGTTCCCAGCAAGCCTATGCCATGCATTCAGCCTCCCCTGCTCAGATGTAGAGCCTCTCCCAGAGTAGGGAAGCCCAACTGAAGTGAAATGGCCATACCTGTATTGTATCCTTGCTCCCTTTACATCTTTGCATCTTTCTTTCCCTAATCTGGGTATTTCCTTCCCTTTTGAATATTATGTACTGCTGCAACTCTCAGAATTTCTCTAAGCACACTGGAGCTTCCCTTATACATTGGTGAAGTCATTTAGCCACATAAATGTTGGTACTCATCCTGGAGGTTGGAAAAAAGTGAGAACAGTATATGTAGTCAATACTTATTTTCATGTTTTTAGTTTTCATTCCTTATGTTTTGCCTCAAATACTCTGCAACCTTTTTTTTCTGGAAGGGAGTGTACAGTACCGTTTGAGACATAGGAGTTTCAAATTTGCTGTCTCTTCCCCGGTACCAGCAAAGAAGCTGTCAACTATTCCACCCTCGTCTCTTAGTCTTCGCCTTCAGAAGTTCATAGAATACTAAAGTTGGAAGGGGCCAAGAAGGCAATCTGGTCCAAATTCCTGCTGTTGCAGGACACCAATTTATACCATGCCAGTTGTCCAAAGACAAATGAAGCTTTGGTATTCAAAAAAGTAGGGTCATTCCTTGTTTTGATTTAATGTAATTAAGTTACTAAGAAAAGCCATGCTGGATCAAAGCAAGGAAGGGTGGACTAGATACCCAACCAGCTGCCAACAGGAAGGACGTGAGTACAATAGCCCAAGTTCCTCAACTACTCATATACATAGGTATACTGTTTCTAACAGTGGAAATGGAATCAGGACTAGTAGCCACTTACCCTACAGGAATTTGTACAGTCCCCTGTTAAAGCTACCCAGGTCTGTGGCCATCACTATATCTTGCGGAACTGAATTCTTAACTATGGTTAAAAATAATATCTATCCTGTGTTCTTGGTTATGAATTTAATGGGAGATAATTGTGTGCTTTGGAAGTTTTCTTGGGATAGTAAAGATTTGATCGCAGAGTTCACAAGAAGTGCAAAGCAGGGAGAAAATGCAGCTCTAAAAAAATAAATGACAGGTGAGACCTCATGGAAACTTTGTCACTGAACCATTGACAACACCACTTTTCATGATGGAAACATTGCAGATAAAATGAAAGTACAAAAGAGATTTTTAACAACTAGGGAAATATGTGGCTTTTAAGTACTGAAATTAAAGTTGTACAGTTTCAGCAATGGCTTGTGACTTCTTGCAAGAATGAAAGAGTAAAATTTGGTCTGTGAAGTACCCTTTAAATCAGTGCATCTGTGCTTAGGTACTTCACATAAAACCTACATATTTCAGTAGAATTTATGCCTATAACCCATCCATATTAACGTTTGCAAATATCAGCAGAATGAATAGGATATAGAGGACTATCATTCTTGTAGGCAAGATTCACATTTTGAAAAACAAACTATTCCCTGTGAGAATGCAAAAATCTAATCCATGACATCTTTGCTAGAGAAACTTTCCCCCAGCTATTCAGGGTGTGGAAAAAAGATCCAAGATCTCTGGAGAAAGAATACCTCCAGGCAATAACCATTGTGAATTCTGTACACATTAGAATTGAACTTCCAGATTCTCCTTTTGGGTTAAAATTCTCAGATGGCCTGTTAGCAGCCTTAAGAAACAGACAATCTGAGGTGGAAACATTACAGCAATTTTTATGCAGAATGAAAATGAGGGGAAGGTATCAATAATGTTGGTTTTAAGAATCCAACAAACTTGTTGGCACAGAAACAAGACTAAAAACAGGATATTTATGTTTCAGCAGATCCTTCAGCAAATCCCATTCATTTAGTTCTGTGAATTCTTCCAAAAACACCCTCTGGGACTGTTGATTAAGTTACCAACCTCGAGGCCATTGAAATGGGGACCATGCCTGAAAAGGGAAGAGACTGACTGGGGTTTTTAATATACAGTTGGTTGGTTGCTTTCTTAATCATACAGCTAAGTGCTTTTGTTTTCTTAGAAGCACAATATGAATGCATCAGTTTTACCATGAGATTTCTAAGATCATTTTCATATTCCCCCCTTGTGTCTTAGAGCAAATAACACCAATGCACCATTTTCTTCTCTCTTCCAGTACTGTTGTACTGGTTAATGTATGCTAGGGAGGACTCTGCATGGAACTGGTCATGCTTAGACTAAGCTATATGTTGCCAAAAAAAAAAAAACACTCTGGCTATATTTTGGTGCCAGTTGTGTGCTCCAGTGTCACAGAAGTAACATCACTTCTGTTCCATGTGGTTCCATTCCACATTGTGTCTATAATAGTGGATCGTTTATTTGGGAAGTATCCAACTGATCTATTCCTTAGGCAGTACCTCCTTCATTTGATGATTAGTGGAGGGTATCAACCATGCCTTTACAATAATCCAAACATTAGACCCTTCCAGCGGGGCAGCCTCAAAAAAATCTGCTAGTTACAAAGCCAGCAACTTTTTATAACCATCTTAGAGTGTACAACAAGGCTAACCACAGAGGAAGGCAGGAACATCTTTCTAGCCACTGGCTTGATTGGGACAGAGGCTGCCCCACTTCACCATCAGCTCATTCCAATCAGTGCAATAAAAGAGGCTGCACACTCTAGCCTATGCTTTCTCAGTAGTCTCATCCCTGATGTCTTAGAAGTCTACACTGTATCCCTATAGCCTACTCTTTCCCATTTTTCTTTTGATCTCCTAGCCCTCATGCGGATGGCACGAAAGAGCCCTTGCAGGCAGACTTGAGTTTTATGCTAGTCACATTTCAGGGAGCAATTTTTTGAAGAGAGACTCCCTAGGGCAACTCTTACTTTGGTCATAATCATACTTCATGCAAAGCAGTATCTCTGTGTTTGTGCATGTGTGACTGCAATGAAAAGAAGCTAACTGATCTCTGCTTGTGTTTCCACAATCTCCAGATGCTACATTGCAAGTGGATGCTACAATGGCTAACTTTACTGTGCCAGAGCATGGGCATTTCCATTTGGATTGCAATATCCTGTCGTCCTCCAGCCGGGATTCCCGCTTTGCTGTGACATGGTTCATTGTAAAAACTAAGGAGAGAGACAGTCGCAAAGACAGTGAAGAGAGGGAGGTCTTGCTACGAGTAGGCCAGGATTTCATCTTCAGCCGAGAAGCCAGTCTCTGGGAAGGCAGACTACGCTTTCAGAGGCTTTCGGCCATGTTCTATCGGTTGACTGTGTTGCAGGCAGGTGTTACAGATGCTGGCAATTACTCATGCCGCGTGGAAGAGTGGCTGCCTGACCCCAGGGGAATGTGGTACAAACTGGCTGAAGACGATTCTGGCCCTATTGCAGTTTCTGTGCAAGACACAGGTGAGGTGATGGTGAGCATTCTTTGGGAGGAGGAGACTGGGACATATAAAGCGTCAATGGTAATACATGAGAGCATCTGAAGGGTGCTAAATTAGCTGAAGGGTTCCCCAGGTATTAGCTAATGAGATGCATCATGGCTTTTCAAAATTAATACACAAACCAGAGTGTATAACAGTGGCCCCTAATAAACACCCTCTGAGTTGCCCTCTATTATAACATCTGACAACACAACTATAAGTAGGAAAGGCTGGTGCTTAATTGGCTCTCGCTTCCCATTCCCAAAGGACATCTCCGATTGTGTGTTGCCACCATCCCTTGGCTGTTGCACCTGCAAGTAACATCTACAGTGCTCACCTAAGTCATTATAAAAACCATGCCATGCTGCATGCTTCTGGTATGTAGCCATCCTAAGCATGTGGATGGAAGTTTTAGATTTGACTGGTAGGGCATCAGTGTAACCCAAAAGAGAGCAGCAGTCAGGCCACTTGGAGCAACCTTGAAACAAGACTGTGTCTATGATGGTTGAGAGCCTTCGCTCAAAGGCTCTGTTGTTCTTTTAAGTGAGTTAGCAGAGGAAAGAGGAAAGTGCCCTTTGTAAATGGCAGAAGCCCAAATGCCCTCTCCTTTTGGTGTCCTTTCAAGGGGTTAACCAAACTCATTTTCAATGTCTGAAGCATAAGTTCCAGAAAGCATCCTTTTGAACATGAGGAAAATAATGTGCACTTTGCTCTGGTTTCAGCAGCTGACTTGCTTCATTTCCAGAGCTGGCCCTGGCCGCTTACAAGCTGTTGCAGCTTTGCATAGTGAGTGCTAGGCTAGTGTGCACAGAAACTAAAGTTTGTTGCTCTGCATGTTTATCTTAACAATAATTATCTTTAACTTTTTTAGGTTCCTCTCTGCAGTCTGTCATCTGCTCCAACGACTCCCTCTTCTACTTCGTGTTCTTTTATCCCTTCCCTATCTTTGGCATTCTCATCATCACTATTCTGCTGGTGCGATTCAAAAGCAGAAACTCCAGCAAAAATTCTGAAGGCAAGAATGGGGTCCCCTTGCTATGGATCAAAGAGCCACATCTAAACTACTCACCCACTTGTCTGGAGCCTCCTGTTCTCAGCATTCACCCAGGGACTATAGATTAAACTGGAGTGATCTACAGAGATGAACATGCACCTGGAACCCAAAGGAAGTGCGTTTTGTTGTCCTGTTATTCAGCATCTGTATTTCTCAGTTCCCGACAGTTTCATTATGATTTTCCTGTCCTTGTTTGGGACTAAGGGAGCTCAAGGATCCCAGGATGCCTCTGAAGGTTCAACCAATGGCTAAGGGTGGTAGAAGGTCTGTGTGTTCACTGTATATAGTGGATTCCCCCTGCCCTCAGCCCTGCATCTGTTCTCATCATTGGTCCTTTGGATTGTAATTCTGTTGCACAAATATGTTTTGTTCTTGTGTTACGCAGAGGACAATCCCCAGAATGTATTGGTTTGTGAAGGGCTCTGGCTGTGCTAATGTGGGGCATGTTATTTTGGGTAAGCTTGTGTTATGAGTTTGATTTGACAACCACGAGCCCTTTATATTGAAGAGGGCCTGAAGAACTCGGCTGGCTGTTTATTACTTTGGAGAAAATAGAACCAAAACTGTCAGCTGCAAAGCACCAGGAGTGTCATTTCTTTGGGAACAAACTGCCTCTGCCACCCTTCAGTCTTCGGCTGTTTCTCATTTCTTTTGAGGACTGAAATATGCTATATGCGAAATTGCTTGCACCATGTTGAGGTCCAACAAAGGCCTGTATGTGTGTCAGTGCAACAGAACTTTCTAGCCTTGAAGCCCACAGTCCTGCTGCCTATACATTCCTGTTTACCAGAAAGACACACAGTTGCCCTCTGGGCATTATTAAACCACTCCACCACTATTTCAGACACTGCAGGGACAAAAAAACCTGAACTCCCGATTCTCAAGACATACCAGTTGACCAAAGTAACAATTTAGGAAGCAGGGGAAGATGGCTGCCCCTCTGAGTGGGCCTGGCTTTGATATGATTTTGGGACATCACACCACAGGAGGATGTATTGTGGATGTCCTGAGCAACTTTGATTTCTTGTGTAAGTTTCATTTCAGATGCAAAAACAACACACAGGGAGTTTACAACAGGCAAGAAAGGATCTGCATGGTCTTGCTTCCCTCCTGTATGTGTGTGTGTGCCATTTTGTTACTTCAGCTTTATTTCTCCAGGTGCAACAGCCTTCACTTTCTTAACAGCCCTGCAAAAACCACAATAAGTGGACTGTGAAGAATTGCTGGGTCAAAAACTGCTGTTCTTTCTGTGAAAGACATGATGCTAACAAACTTGGGGCGCAGCACCTTCTTTCCCTCAGATTAAGCCAACTTCTTGTCTCCTGTTCGACATTGAAACACCTGCTGTAGCTGATGGACTGCTCTCTTAAGCCCCTGGTTCTAGCCTGGCAGATAGGGAAATGTGTTTCCCAGAAAATGGCTGTTTGCCGTCTTCCTAAAAGTCTTCCTTGCACAGCTGGCCATTACCTGTTTTGCAAAAAGGCTCAATATATGAGGTTACTTGATGTCCACAAGTTCTGTTGCCCTAGCAGGTGGGGGTGACAGGTGGAGGTAGGGGATGCCAGCAGAGCAAGCTCTCCCTGAAGAGTGACACATGTTCATCTTGCCAGATTGGCCCTCTGTGGGGATAACATGTTAACTTTAGTTAATGGTGCTTTATAAGTCTGTATAGTTTTTTGTCAGATATTCGACCAGGAGAGGAATGTGCATATTCAGCTCACCCACAACAGGGGTAAATTCACTTTATTTTCCCAAGATTTATGGTTTTTCAAAATACCTCCTTATAAAGGAGGATTGCATAGCATTCCAATAAAGCATCTAGAATATTCCCTGCTCTCAGTCTGCCTTTGCAAACTGTTATTCCTAGGTAAAAAGTCCTGTATATGCACATGTGTATACAGTTCGAAAACACACACCATCCTCCTGCCTGAGCAGTATGTTCAAAAGGGAGGAATCAAAACGCAAATGGAAATGAAGAGCTAAGCAAAAAAGAGCCCCTAGCATTGTCTCTTGTTTTATAAATGTAAAACGTCCTGTACATATAATGCTTTGGGGCAGGAGCTATAACTCAATTCAACTCCTAAAAAACAAAATGAGTCAGCAGGATGATTCCCTGCCCTAAAGAACACTGTTCTTTATCTTTGCTTTGGAAATATGTTGAACAGACCTAGTAGTTTCAGTGCTTTTCTACATATCCCCCTTCCCATCCCTTCCATCTATGGAAAGCTATCCCACAGCGACCTCCAGTGGCCAGTCATTTGGATCGGCTGTGGACTCTTGGAAAATAAGCAGATGTGTATCAAAGGCAGTAGCCAAAGTGGGAGCATTATTGATCACACACATCGTGCCAATGATTTGTTCATTGCACTGCCAAGTTACTGCCCAGTCTGGGACATGTATCTTTCTAAAAGGTGACTTTTGTCTGTAAAAAGCTCTAACAAAGCTTATTGGAGAACTCTTTCTTTACCCAGAGGAAAAAGAACAAACTACCTTTGCATGATGTGGGAAACCCATGTGAGACTTTTTTATTATTATTAAAAAGAACTTTGTACCATGTTGCACTAAATGTTTTATACAACACACCTGAGAGCTGTAGTAAACTGTGTTGAAATTGTGAATGACCTGTGTTGATGGCTTTGAAACTCTGCTACCAAAGCCTCCCCTTTTTCTGTTGCTGCTGTTTCGCTGCCGGAGGACAACTCCCTATCAGTGCCTGTGATGTCAAATTGTACGTTCAGCTGTCGCAAGCTCTGGGGTCCTTGCTCTAGCCCTGCACTTGGCACAGCTCCTGCACATGGGAGTGATTTCCTTGAAAGGCGTAAACTAGCAGCTGTCGCGTATGTGGCTGGTGCCAGCGCTTGGACAAATGCCTAGCCCCAGGCGCTGCCAAGTGGCTTAAGATGAGCCACCTGTAGTACTAAACGATGAACTGCTTTGGCCTCGTCCCTGTTGTGATGAAAGCGAAGGTGGTCGCCACGCCACCTTGCCTGGGATTGCAAGTGCTGGCAAGTGTTCAGAAGAGCTGAAAGTATGTTGTGGAAGGAAGGAGGAGACATGTACACAAGCCATGTACAGTGTCCATCTGTATAGAGCAATTGCTTTGTCTTTTTTTTTTTTTTTTACTGAAACTAAAACTTCGCCTTGCTGGAAGAATGCCCTGTAAGCTTTCAAGTAGATTTCCTACGCTGGATTCAGCCCTATTGGTTATTGCCAGCCCTCTGAGGTACCACCCAGGCAGTACATCTGATAATTAAACGTTTTATTCATATTTCAAGATATTGATTAAAGTAGAAAGTGAACTTAATGTCAAATACCATTCTTAATCTGTGAATCTAAAAAGGATGAAATGGAACAATGTAAGGTTAATTAGCAACTAAAGTTTGAATTAAAGGATTTCTTGACTTATTGGCAATCGGTAAAGCAAAGGAAATAGTCATAATGAAGCAAAGCTGGCTAGTTAAGCTTTAATCTGTTTAAAATGCAAGTAAGATGGTGATTGATATTTAAAACTCAAGTTTGGGCCAAGAGGGGTCCACCAGAGTTTCTTATATTACATGCCTTAGATTTTCAAGTTCTGTTTTGGACCCTGTATTTAACAGTCAGTTTTGGAAATTAACTCTCAAGGTTAAAAGTCATGAGAAAGCTCTCCTCACCAATGTTAAGGTCTGCATCCCTAGCACTTGGCTATGTTTTTGTTTGCTTAAAATTAAAAATAGATGTACTGCTGAGATAGCAGGTATAAAATTGCACTGTTAGTCCAGGCAAATATTACACAAATTTTAAGGAAAAGTTAATTGTACAAAGGCTGAAGCTTCACCAATCAAATGTCAAGGGAAACCCAATGGCATGCTGCCATGGTCCTTTGCTCATGAACCTTTTCAGAGTACAAAAGCTCCTCTGTACACACAGAAGCTTCAGGTGAGGCAGGTGATCAGTGCAACCAGAACTGTAATTAATTGTGGCCTGATCAGAGGAGAACAAGGAAGGCAGCCAAAAGAAAGAGAAGCAGGGACAGTGCAAGACTTTGGGAAGAAGGTATAAGTAATTCAGACTTCAGAACATTATCCAAATCTTTTCTACAGTCTAGAAAATAGCCATAGCAGAGTTTTTTTTTTTATAAAGGAGAAGATGTTAAACAATTCTTGTGTTGCATTTCTAAATGTATTAAAGGGACATGAAAATTGTATGAGTCACAGTTGTCCATGGCAAATTTTAGAAACAGAGTTCACAGCAAGTTCTTCATTTTATTTTTTTTCAGGCTAACTTTGTGCTGTACTACCACATTTCATCACTGGTTCATGGGTTTTGTTTTGCACTTTATTACCACATAGACTAGCATAGAGATTTTTTCTTTGCATTTTTGAAACAATACTGGCCATTCCTTGTGGATGGAATCCAATTATCTCTTACTGATGGCACAGTTTCCATCAGTAGAATGGGGAAGTGCGGTTTGTTCTTCCACTGTCCGAAGTAAAAATGTGCTCCAGAGATTTAGGTGACCCATGGAGAAACTGGGGCAGGTTGGTCGTTCTGCATGAGTGTAAATGTTTGCATAGCACTGGATTTTGTCCAGTATTGATGCATCTAACGCTTACTTTGAGAGTTCACCGGAATGAAAGCCTTTTATTCTGCCACATCTATGTTTTATGACATTGTATTATTGATAGGGATTTACAGCAGCACAGTATATTAGCAAATTCTTGCCCTCTGCAAGCTCTTCTTGTTCTGCCCTCTCCAAGCGTTGACTGCATTATTCTGCAGTCAAGCTAAGATCATAGAGCTCCTTTGCAACTTTCTCTAATCGATCTTTGTATTCAATCTCCTTATAGTTATTTGTACTGACCCCTTTGAAGCCATACATTGCACCCCACCAGCAGGCAGCAATGACGGCTGTGGAGTCACTGTCCCCACCATGAAAGAAGGCCCTGTAAGCCAGCTCAGTCCAGTTCTCAGAACCAAGGAAGGCATCATAAGCAATCATGGGAGCGTCATGTCCACTGCTACCTCCCCAGCCAGAAAAACTCACAGCTGTATAGAATTCATCTCTTTCTTTCACACCATATGGTTCAGGGAAGGAAGGAAGGGATTTGCCGTCTGAAATGCCTCTGGTTTTCAGGTACTTCTTCCACTGGATTTCAAAGTAGTTCCTATGAAATAAACAAATTCAAAAGTTTTTCTCAAGATCCTAACTAAGAAGTATATGTAAAAGTGGGAGGAAATTGCATTAACATTTACTGGAATATAGCCTTCAGAAATGTAAAAAGTAGACCCACCATGAATGTTTAAGATTTTAGCATCCCACAGAGTAAACAACATGGTGCATGAATGGGTCTCTGACACTATCCATGGTACCCACCATAATGTCCTACTCCTTCCACTTTTTTCTAATTAACATATTTTCTTAAAGTTGGATTGCCGTGAGATAGATTCTTGTTGGTACAGAAAACTCTTTTGAGGCCAAAAATTTTTAGTGTGCTGGGGCTTAGGTCTTCTGAACCTGGTCTTTTGAACATGCCATGCCTCATATGTATTGTGTTCCAGGACACTTTTTCAAACTGGCAAATATAGTTTGACCCACCCAAGTTTGTCTAGGTTATCATGATCTGACAACATATAGATAAGCAAATGCTCTCCTTTGGCTGACACAGTACACTTTGGGGTAACAGGCATTGTCTGTTCTCTTTCCTCTATATCTCACATGCCAACATAGGATAAACTGCATTATAACTGTACCTAGTTAAATTTATGGCATGGGTAAGTAGAAGGTAAATCTGGTAGATCGTTGGGTGATTTATAGTAGGTAAGAGAGACTTTTTAATTCCCAACTGTTAAACAATAGCAGCATCAAAATTATTCTCTCTCAGTGTACAGTTGTATTGCTGAAATGAAAAAAGTCTCCAGTAAACAGTAGAGAGCTTGGAATTCCATCTAGTTCTGGTACTTGGAAAAAAAGCTTCTGGGCTCAGTATTCTTTAATTCTTAAGTACGATTTGCTTTCTGCACCAGGCTCACCAGTGCTGCAAGTTCTTTTCCACACAGCAACCTGACTTCTGGATATGGACTATTGCCTTTGGCAGCACCTTCATCAGCCCTTCTCCCCATTCATGGGGTGGTTTGTGATTAATAGCATAAGAGGTAAAGAGAGCAGAAGCCAAGGATCCAAGGTAGCCTGTGGGGTGGTGGTGAGTCATGCGTCCGCTGTCTATGCTAACTGCAACCAGGTTTTCCAGCTGTTCAGGATGTCGGAATCTCAGTCCAATGCACATGGACCTCATAGCTGCTCCACACCCTCCTCCTGCCTTGCTGAAGCTGGGTTTCCAGCTCTCTGGGTCCTCTGGGTCCAGACTCAGTGCGTTTTGCATGCATGTACCACCTACAAAGGATGGAAAAGGGGAGAAACTTAAAATTTGGAAATCTATCATTACAAAGATGTCTAAGATGGGGGTTGGCTCACATTCACAGAATGTATTCTTGCCATGCACCAGAAAGTACTCTTACTGCACAAGCTGCGACTTGCGAGTGATTTTAAGTCACTGCAAAATTTTAAATCACTGCAAAATATGAGTGATTTTAAGTGGCAAACTGCAGTGCAGAAATCGAGAACAACCAAGGCCCAGCTCTTGATTTTGCCAATATTAACACACTGGCACACTTAAGAGTGTAGCTCCCATTAATTAGGAAGATGAAACCCCAGCATTATTCACTGTGCTTGTCTCGCAAATCTTGTTCAACTGACAAAAACTAAGGTTACAGGATTGGACATTTCATAACAGACTGTTCACATATTTAGAAAGTGAGGCAACAGGCACAGTGTACCCATAGTCCAAATAAACAGTAGTTCTTTGCATGTGACAAATCCTTCAAAGCAAGAACCCTGTGCAGCCCATTGAAGCTCCTCATCCAGCAACTCTTGGCCTTGGACAAGGACAGGAAGGTCAGAAAGGGAGCATGCTGGTAACAGGAGAGGGAATGGAGGAAAAGATATAGATCCATAGTCTTCATTTTTGCCCCACTCACCACACAGCCTACTAGAAGAGTTCAAAGCCCTATGGAGCTTTGAGCTAAATGCTTTTTAAGGAAATGGAGGGAAATGGTTTCATTTCTTCTGTCCCCTTGTCTGATGCCCAATGGGGATTATTGCAGCCTTCCATCCTGTTGGCTAGACAGCCATAAGATACGCCTGTTGTATTTATATATTATTAATTGCTGCACCATCTAATAGCTGAAGCTTTCTGGGTGGTTCACAACCATTTCTCAAGAATGCAAAAAAGATACAAGAATAAAATTTCAGCATCCAAAAGTTTCCCAATTCTGCCCACTTGGCATTAATACTACATGACGTAATTGGGTTTTCTGTATACTGACCCAGAAAATACCTTTCACGTACCTTTCACGTACGATGTTGAAAATACACCATAAGGAAGATGTTGCAATATGTAACAAGTACATGGAACCCTTCTAAACTGATGCTATTTCTGACATTTATTTACATACTCTAGTTTGCAAACCAGATTTGCATACTCGCAGGAAAATTTATTCATGTGCAATCCTAGATCTACTCAGAAGGAAGTTCCACAAAACCCAAGGAAACTTATTCCATGTAGCTATTCATAGGATCGCAATGTGGTGACTTGACACAGAAATGGGGAACCTCCACCCCACTGAGGGTCCTCATCCAGCCAGTAGGAACTGTCTTGCTAGTCCCTCACCGAGCCCTGTAACGTGAAAGTTAACAGTGACAGGAAAGGAGGGTGGTGCACTAAGGACAATACCCACTTATTTCTGATCGTTGATTGGAAATTATAAGGAGGATTCCCCTTAGAAAGCAGCTCACTCTCCCATTTGGGAGTGCAAGATCCATACCACACGCTGTGCCCACCCTATATCCCCCCCACCCCCAAGAGGGAAAAGTGTAGCACCAGCAAGGCCACTTGGGAGGTGAGCTCTTGCTCCACTTTCCAGCCCACATGGAGGTTTCAGTGGGAGTGTCATCTGCCCCCGTACCCAAATACAGTTCCCCACTGCTGTCTTCTTACCGTCAGATTTGATTCTCTGCAGCTTCCTCATTTGGTTGCACCACCAAACTCTAAATAAAGTGCTTTGTCTATGTTTGGAGGTGGAGTATAGCTCAGCAGCAGAGCAAATGCATTGCACACAAAAGCTTCTAGGTTCAATTCCTGACTTCTCCAGATCAGCCTCCCTCCCAAAAAGCCACTGCAGATCAGAGTGGATCAGCCCTTCCCTCTGGTGTACTTTCACTGGACTAGAATTACCATCACTGGCTATGTTGGCTAGGTTAACAGAAGCTGTTGTCCCACACATCTGGAGGTCATCAGGCTTGAAAAAGCTGGTGGACCAAGGGCCTGATGGTATAAGGCCACCCCTTATATCCCAATATTAGGAGCTTCTCAGAGTAATTTAAGGGTACCGGGACTGTTTCTGAAAATGTCAAATTGCGTGTATAGGTACACACACGGTGTATTGAGGGTAATCTAAAAACAGCTCTTTTCCTAAGTGTTTTTGGAAACAGTAAACGGCAAGTATTTTCGCCATGCTATTAGCAGAGTTGGAAAGACAAGGGTTCTTGTGAATATATTACTGCAGTGAGATCAGAAGAGGGACTTTCCCTGTGTTCAGCGTGTGCCTGGCCTTGACCACTATGCCCTTCTCTATATATATTTTAGTCACAGAAATGTAATTGAAACAGATTTTTCTTTTTGTCAAAATAACCCTTCCCTCAGTTTGCAAGATTCTTCTTCAAATATTTTCTGTCTCTGTTTTGGACTGGTGGGTGGATTATTGTTACATTCTCCAAGAAGGAGGTAACATCACAGAAAAAAGAAACACACCAGGGCCTTTTCTGCACTAAAGGCTATTATCACAGCTTAGTCAATGCCATCCCACAATCCACATGGAAATAGTTCTGCTCAGTACTTAATATAGTACCATGACAACTAATATCCCCACAGGGAAGCAGGGGAAACCAAACGTCGGCTATTGCTGAAGAAAGGGAATGAACCCCTTATCATTTTTGTCAGGTGGCAGTGGTAGTGGTTTTAAGGACATGCTTCTCCTCCAGAGAATCCACAAATATTACAAGGAACCAGGGAGAAAAACATGGTGTCTTTCTGGGACAAGAGAAAAAGTCAGGGGCATCTATGAGGAGGACTGCAGGGCAGAAGGGGAAATAAGAGGTAATTCTGTCAGTTAAGTTACAGCTAATGTTATGCTTTAAAAAAAATCCAGCACATCATTTGTGCACTGAAGTGCAAATAAAGAATACATTATTTTTTAAAAAGCCACCACAGGAGTATTCTGAGTTTAAGGGTGGACTTCTAGCATCACTAAGCTAGAAAGAGGCTGATGGAGCTGTGAGGTTGTGCTTGCTTTGAAAGTCTGAGGGTCAGTGCAGAAGGGGGCTCCCCCATACCTCTTCCAGCAACAGGGAAAACCCCCTCCCTGGCACAGAATCTCAGCTTTCCAAAGCAGCGAGCCTTTCATTGCTTTGCAAGCCTCTTCACAGCTCAGTGCAACAGAAAGCCCCCACTTTCAACAAATGGGGGCTGTCGTAAGCATGCCCAAACAAAACTTTTTGTGCCTATGTACAGTCCGGAGGTTTTTTAGGGGAATGACCAAAGGTCAGTAGTAGTTCACATGCTTTGCATGCAGAAGGTCCCAAATCAATCCCCACCTTCTCCAGGTACAGCTGGGAAAGGCCCCTGCCTGAAAATTCCCTGGAGTGTGCAAAGAAGATGATAGGTGATGGGCCTTCCTAAGCCGGCCACACCTTTAAAAAGAAGCCTAATGCAGGCTGTAAACAGAATGGGGAAGGGCATGGAAGGGGAGAACAGCAGGACAGACGAAAGCAGTACTGCTTTGCAACTCAAAAAAAACAGCAAGACGAGTCTTAAAACAGGAGAAAAGCGAATGCAACTTTAGCAGCAATGTCATTAAGTTCTCTGTAAGGTCCAAATGAGCGAAAGATGGCAAATATACAGAGAACAGCAAGTATGCAAGCAGCCATGGCCACTGATTTTTACTGATCTGACTGGTGCCTCGAAATTTCAATGAGTTTGATTCACTGCAGATACAGTGAAATCAATGGATCTACTCTAAACATGAGCAAATATAGATCCAGGCTATTTTTAAGAGATTTTCTACAGAAGTTTATCATGTACTCATGATTCCCTACTTATTATCCCTTATGAGCTCTTTAGATGATGAAGATATGATCCTCCAGTTTTGCTTCTTATTTCTCAGAGAACTCCCCCAGTTGTGTGAGTGTTTTAAGAGTGGAGAAAATGAGCTATTAAATTACAACAGGGAAGATGGTGGTCTTCCTCCTGGCGTATTTGTGCTATTCTGCAACAGCACAACTCCACCTAAAGGTTGTGCAGCAGAAAAGCAGAATCTCAATGCTGGGACAAAACTAAAGTAGATATAGTGATGAACAGCACAATAAATGGCTTGTATTGAAAGCCTGAAGAACCATCAACCACATGCATCCAAAGGATGTGTTTCAGCATCCTGTGATGAGTTTATCTTCCTTGTGCACCATAATATTCCTTTGCAGAGCATATGGTACAAGTTTGCATGGAAAGATGCAGCCATCTCATTTCCGAACAGATGTCCCATACAAATCCCATTTTGAATTACTTATCGTCTTTGGCATGTATGTCCTTTATGTTGTTTAAAAGCTCAGCACTCACAGATCTGTAGGAAAACTGCATCCGGATTGTAGCATACACAATCAATCAAGCGATCCTTCTCAAATTCCCCATTCCAGCTACTAAGGATGTAATTCAGCCACAGATGTGATCGTAGACAGAAATAGCAAATAAGGTGGGGAGAGAGGTGCAGATAAAGTACCTTTCTTAATTTAAAATAGTTCTGTAATATTGGGATAGATTTTTAAAATCAGTGTTTTCCTTGTAGTTCTTCTCTAATCCCTGGGCAGTCCGGAGCAAACTACTTTAAAAAGAGAAAGGTCGACAAAGACATTCTTCTAAACCAAGGTAGCACCCAATAGCTTTGGCAAGCAGTCAGAATGATCAGAATTCAAGAATATTTGGTGGGCTACATCTAGACTACCCTTGTTTTAAATGAAGAAACCAGAATGTCACTTTCTGGCACCGTTCCCCCACTCGGGCTCCTCAAAATGATTTTGACAGAAGCTCAAAACACTTGGCCATTGGACCTGCTGGCCGAGACTGGCAGGAAATCCAAAATATAGAGTTCACCAAGCTGGAGAAGGCAGTTCTGGAAAATATGCAAGCTTCTTTCCAAGAATCAGAGGACCAGGCAACCAGATCTATTGAACTGGGAGGGATCTGTTTGCTGGAATGTGCAAAAGCACGCTGGATTATAAACATGCTTTCTGGAAAGTTGAAGAGGCAGAAGTTTCTGCAAGGGGGCTGGGGGGTGCTCAATGGGAGGTTTCCAGTGCCAGAATTAAAGACGGGAGAGGCTTCAGTAGTCCATGCTCCTGCTGCCCATATACATGGTCAGGCTTGTCAGAATAGTGTGCAAGGGCTTTGGTGTGGCCATGAAAACCCAGGTTCAACATTCAGCAACTCAATTCTGAAGTCATGGAGGAAAACTAACGTCTTTCAGACTAACCCATCTCACAGGATGATAACCTCAAAAGGAACTGCCACAGTATATACAACCTTGAGCAAAAGCAGGAAGTCAAGGTGAAAATACAATGCTGATGTGATTCCAGGTCCTTCTGCTCTTTCCAGTCCCCTGTACCAGCAATGGTCCCCTTCAGATGTGCCAGACCACACATCCAACCTTTCCCAGCCAGCCTAGGATGGGCAGTACTGGAGGCTGTAGTTCAACACATCTAAAGAGTACTAGGCTAGGGAAGACTCCTCTACTGTGTGTTTCCTTTAGTAAGGCCTGATTGGGAAAAGCAGCTCAGTAAAGACACTGTAATCAAATGAAAGCAAAAGCTACCAAGAGAAATCAAGCAGCTATAAATGGTTGCTTTACAAGAGCAATGTGAGATCGAAGGCCTTTTCAAAAACCCAGATTGCAACCCAACACCCTGACAATCTGAGCCTCTTGAGAAATACAGTGGCACTTCTGTTTTCTCCCATATAAGCATGTAGAAAGGTTACCTGGAGCTCGTCCTTGCATGTCGCTCATGCAGTCCCTGTAGTTTGCCGCAATCAGTTTATACAAGTAGGTTAAGTCCGGGTTTTTTCCAGCTTCTGCCAAGGCTTCCGCAGTTGCCAAGTGCATGACAGTGTCATCACTGACCTTCCAGCCTGCCACTTGTAGCTGTTCCACGCCACCCATTTTGGCTAATTCATTGTGAATCCTCTCACCACTCCGTTGGAACTCCCATTTTCCATTGCAAAAGCCCATGGCATCTCCAGCAGCACTCAGCACCATGGCAGCCACATAGTTCTCTAGCAGGCCTGAACTCATGGTTGATCTCTGCAACCACCCGCTCCACAACACAAAAAAGACAGATTAAAATTCAATAATCCCTCCAATTAAAAACAGTTTAAACTTGTAACTGAATTTCATATGTATTCCAAAACACAATGCACAATATTAGGTGGTTCTGTTGAGTTTACTTCTATCCAGTCTGCCAGTCACTGTCCGTTAAGTCCCCTTTTCTCTGGTGAGTTTCACCAAGGTTGCTATAACCTGCACAAACAGGTATGTACAACCGAACAATCCTATCAAGACAGTGCCTGGAGGGCCATGAGATCATTCAAATTTCCAGCTGTGGGGCCAGAAAAGAAGCTTACAGGCATCCCCACTGGATTTCATCCCAAGAGCTCAAGCCAGTATCCCCCACTCCAGTGGCATGCATTCCTCCAGACTCAGAGACTTACACTCATCCAATGCATGTTGCAAGGTGCAGCAGCAGCGATCTCTATAGCTGTGGCATCTCATTCCCTGCATTTCATCCAGACAGCTATTTTTGACCATCTAGATGAAACACCATGAAGGGGGAGGGAAGAAGGCTGGAACACCATTTGGATACAACATAAACCATTTGCCTCAGCCTCTTCCCCTCCCCATCCCCAACACATTCCTTTTCCTGTTCTCCAAGGCCAACTGCAGCCTCAGAGAGTCAGCCAGTTCCTTGGAGCTGACGCTCGGAATAATCCTATGGCCAGGATTGGGAGGCAACAGGATTGTGCTGGGGTCCAAAATTACCTAGCTAGCCCACTGGAGATACAACAGATGTAATAAGTGACCAATGGCAAATAATAAGCCAGACTTCTCTTGCTAATTTTACTTGCTGAGAATCTTAACTTGTATTAATGCTGTCTGTAACATAGCAACTGGTAGTGCATTTTTGCAGTAAAAACATAAAATGTGGACAAATGTGCTGAGGAAAAGGTATAAAAAATCTTTAATAAATAACAAATAAATACATTTTCTGATATTGGGAGCATATGATAACCAATGCAAACTATCATAATACTAAACTTTTAACCCTTGTCTCTTTCCTCTTGCAAAGAGCCCACCGTGGCCTACAAGACTCTCCTCCTCTCCATTTTATCCTCACAACAACAACCCCGTGAGGTAGCTGAGAGTGAGTGAGGGACTGGTCAAGGTCATCCTGTGAGCTCCATGGCGTAGCAGGAACTAGATACCAGTTCCCCCAAGGCCCAATTCAATATTCTAACCATCATGCTACACTGGCTCCAGAAAAAATTGTTTCTGAGTGTACTATCGCGCATGGTAAATCAAGTGTTAGATAACACTGGTCTACAAATTTTGGGAAATTCTCCACCTCAGAGATAAAAATGTGCTAATTCTTACATATTTTGATTAGATGAATTATAAAACAGGTGAGAAAGGTGCTGCTTGGCTAAAGTTTTCAAGATATTTCACAATAAAGATTTATACTCAGGTGAGTATATTTGCCTACAAGGGAGGGAGGTGTCTGATGATCATGATGCCTCGTAACTTCTTGACAAAGTAGAGTAGAATAATGAAAATGGTACCACATGGACGAGTATAAATTTGTCTTCACTTTGAGACTAAAGATTTCCACTGAACTATAATTTACTGTTCTTTTATTGCAAGATACATTTGTCTTGGTCAGATCTACACATCATACAGTTACATCTGGTGGCTTGTGAAAGTGTCATTGCCTAACATTTTCCAAGGAACAGTTGCATGATGTTTTCCCTCAGAAGCCAAATTGCCTTGAAACTGTGTAAACAATGCAGATAACTTCTGCTGCATTTGTGGCGCGGTTACATTTGCAATATGTAAAAAGTGCAATATGAGGACAGTGGTAAAAAAGGCATAGCACCTATATTTTGGATGCAAAATAGGGGATCGGGACAAGAGTTGGGCCCCTCATTATTGTTGCATTATATGTGCAACTTATCTGTGTCACTGGCTAAACAAGAAGAAAAAGTCCATGCCTTTTGCAGTCCCAGTGGTGTGGAGGGAACCCACCAATCATAGTAGCGACTGCTATTTTTGCATGGTTCCCCCAGTTGCAAAAGGGATCTCAAGAAAGAAGTGGACCGTGGAACATCCAAGCATTCGATCCACATTGTATCCTGTACCCCATGGTGAGGACTTGCCAATTCCAGATCCACCACAATCCTACTCTTTAGACTCAGATGATGATAAAGATGATGAGCAGGATGCAGGTGATCTGGGGCCGTCGATGTCAGTGGACCCAAACTTGAAAATGTTACATGAAAAACCAATAAATCAATGGAAAGTTATGTTATTGGTATCAATAAAAAGCTAAATTTATAATGATTGGCCCACCGTATGCTCCTCCTGAACCACATCTAATTTCATAGAGTGAACTAAATGACCATTCTCATTGATCTAGCGGAAAAGTTATGGAGCTTTTTGCAGAAAAGTTTTCTGCAATGTTTCTCATTTTACAAAAAAGTTATGGAGCATAACCACATATCGTAATTTTGAATGATTTTGATGCAATTTTGACCTGAAGCTGTATCTTGGAAACTGGAGCCAATTAATACTCAGGACTTAATTTTCCTTTATTAGTGACCCTATTCTGGTAAAAATCTCCTTGTAGACCAGTGTGATCACATTATATGGAAGAAAGCTATACAAGCAAGTCAACCATGACTAGTGACAGAATCTTGGTTTTCAAGTTGTGAGGAATGAAAACTAGGATCTGTGGGGAAGATCTACACACCTGAATTTCTGTGGATTCCTTGATGCCCCAGTTCCTGAAGTATCTAACAATTGTTCACTCCTGGATAGAGGCAAACTCAACTACAAAATTACGGTCCATGTACAGACACTTTTTTATAAACTGCTAGTCGATTACACAGAGTGTTAAGTTTCCAGATAACATTAGTACAATGGCATCTTGATGTTTTTAGGCAGGACATAATGTTCTAAACTGACAAGAAATACTGGCAACAATACTATGGAAAATATTTCTGATTGCTTTATTGACATGTCAATTCAGTAGATTCCTTGCAGCCCTTGTGTCTGTTTAAACATGCAAACATGTCTGATTGAGGAATCATTCAGGAAAACAGGTTTGACAATTACACTGTGCAGGTATTCATCTCCATGAAACTAGGTGATAAAATGGGTCTGTTCAGAAACAGATGGACACATTTGTCTCAGCTGTGTGCAACTGATGGGAACACAGGTTTCCCCATTGATAGTATCAGCCTACAGCAGCTTCTCAATCTAGCTCAGAATTCCATCTTCTTAAAGTAACAGTAACCTGGCTTGGAATTCTGCTGCTTTCTGAGAAAAGGGCTCATGTTTGATTTTACAACACAAAGGCATATAAGCAACATTTTTCGACCACGATTTATTCTGGATTTCCCCAGCACTGGGTGCTTCTTCCGGAGTTGCTCGCTGCCATTTGCAAGGACTTCTGCAAACCTACTCTGCAGCTGGCCAATGCCATAATCCCAGCAAACGCGAGTGTCACACCCATCAGCGCTCAACGAGGAAACTGGCTGAGTGGAGTTGGGCGCATCTATTCCGAGGAAAGCTACTCCCTGCACTCTCACCACCAACTCCCGAAAAGTGGCTATCGGGACCAAACTCCAAGGTGCAGGTTAGAGGAAGTCGTTCCTTGCAATAACTAGGAAGTCAAATCATACCCTGTCCCTTCGCTCCTCGTCGGGAAAGGGCGATGGAGCCAAAAGTGACCAGGAACTCGCTGCATTCTTCCTCCCCAGCTGCTCCCTATCCGCAACTCTGCCTGCGATCTTAAGCGCTCTCGCTTGGCAGCAAGTCCCAATAAAATCAGTGCGACTTACTTCTGAGTATGCACACAACGAGATTGAGGGCTGAAAAGTTAAGGCTCCATCGCTGCGCTCATGCTCGGGACCAAGCCTCACTGGACGCACGGGGTCTTCTGCGTCAACATCCTTAGGATTGCCCTACAAGGCCACGACCCCACCGTGTTTCCCTGGGAAGAAGCAATTTAGTGCTCGATCCTAGGCATGTTCAGACGGAACACTTCCCCCTACCAGGCATGCTGGGGGTTGTAGGCCTTTCTTCCGTCTAACCAAGCACAGAATTGAGCCCTGACTTACTTCCGCTTAGGTCTGGGCAGCTGCAAGTCGCCAAGCGGCCAAACGCGGGGAAGAGGGGGCCTCGGATAGGAACGCATGAGGGACCGCGTAATCTTGGGACTTACCCTGGCACAGACTGGGCTGCTGGTCAAACTTCAAGACTCGGAAACTACTTGGCAGTTTTGTTTGGAGGTGTTCAGGGCCGCAGCGCGGCTGGAAACCCCCTTGACGTAAACCGCGAATAGGAGTCGGGTGCAGCAGCAGCCAACCAGCCCAAGCCCCAGGGACGTGCCAAGGGGCTGCGACCAGCTGCCTGCGGGAGCTCGGAGGGAGCCCAGACCGGGGAGGAGCGATAGCGGTAATTCCTGACCACGTGAGCGCTCCGGCGAGGGTTGCCGGGTTTACGAGCCGCGAGGAGAAAGGAGAAGCGATTTTTTTTTTTTTTTTTTTGTTAAAGGCGCTGTTAATGCGAGTGGGCAAAGTGGTCTGAAGAATGTCTGGAGTTGCTTGACCTTTTTTGGCTGTCTACACTTGCATAGGTTTGTGCTGGAGGTGCTGACGGGGCTGCTGTTGGGAAGTGAGCGTAGTCGCACATAGTAGCAGCACTGCTCTGCGGGGCGAAGCGGCATCATGACAATCGCATGTGTATTCGATCCGCCCGCTCGTTGTCGCTGCGGAAGGCAAGGTCGGGTCATATTAAGAGTTTTATCAGGAGACGACAAGCGCGTCTGGCAGCAACTTCTTTCTTTGCTCTAAAGTAACGGGAAAGGAACAAGCTAGATTACCATCGGGTGGGACGGGAAGACTAGGGCTAACCTTTTCTTCCCCTCTTCTGTGGCCTGGATTGTCATCCCCTCCCTGCCTGTATTTTTTTATTGCTAAAAAGTTGTCATTTGGAGTGATGGAATCACTTTACAGTGATGAAAATTACAGGTGTGAGAGGGAAAGTGTTGCTTTGCTTTATTTTTGTAAAACTGTCCCCCACTTTAGGACCTTGATCAGAATTGGGGCCTCCTGTGCTTACTTTTAGCACAGTGAGAAGGGCTTCACGATAAGTTGTAGCTTGGTCTTGAGCTACTGCTTTGGACAACAGCAGTTGTCTGTCTGAACATGGATAGGACTGTACCTTAAATTACTATTACGTGGGATTCCTACCTCCTAATTACTGACTTGCCTACAGAAATGGGACTTCATGGGACTGACCTGAAACAGTGGAAGCTACAACTAGTGCAGAGTTGCAGCTCCTGTCTGGAGATACCACTTTACCACTGTATTCTGGGAACTGCACAGGCTGCCAACAAGTTCGTGTTAAGATGCCACTCTTTGCTCGTTTAGCTCAGAGGTAATTTCTTGGGGCTGACTGGAGAGTACGGCATTGTCAGTAGTTGGAATATCCTCTATGGAATGCCTGTCTCCAGCCAGGCAGGTAAGGGAGTCACTAATGATGCTTTTAATGCTTCAATCACTACTTCCAATTTTCTATGCACAGAGGCTTCTGATGGTGCCATAAAAAGAACAGATCCACCTATGAAGAATAGATCAGCCAGAGACCTATCTAGCCCAGCATTTTCTTTCTGCAAGGCAAGCTAGATAGATCCCAGGGGGACCCACCTGCAGGACTTGAGTGAAGCAGCATCTTCCCAGTCCCACAAAGTTTCCCTAGCAGCCAGTATTTAGAAATATATTGCCAGGTAGAGCCAGTGAACTTTATTCATCATGATGAGGAGCCACTGATACCTCCATAATTTTATCAAACTCCCGTTTAAAGCTGTCCATTTTTTGGCCAGCACTGAATCTTAAGTTACCAAAGTTCAAGATGAAACATGAAGTACAAGCAAAGCTGAGTATCAGTACACTAGAACTGAGAGAGTTAAAAACAACTTGTCAAACAGATTTAAAAAAAAACATTGTAACATTTCAGTCTGAACATTTCTGTGAAATGGTTAACTTGGAGAACTGGAACAAGGATTGTGTCAATGTTTACACTGGCAATGTAGTAAAACATATATAAATTATAGAGACATTTCAACATAACCAGCTTAACCCAGCAGAGTAACAATTTAAAAAAAAAAAACCTTACCTCTATGGCTTGGTTCTGACATAAAGATGACAAATGGCTTATTTAATGCAGAGTTCATCTGGCACTTGATGAAACAAACTTTTTTCCCCTCAATCCAGTTTGTTTTCCTCCTCCTGTAAAATGAGAACATAAAAGAGGCGCATTAGATCAGACAAAGCATCCATTTAGTTCAGCATTCTGTTCACCCAATAGGTAACCCATGGGACATGAGTGCAGCAGCATCACTCCACATAAGTTCCCCAACAAATGCAGGCATACGCATATTGCCTCTGATCCTGGCATATAGTCTCCAGGACTAGTAACCATTGATTGCTTTCTCCTCCAGGAATTTGTTCAATCACCTTTTAAAGCCATTCAGGTTGGTGAAAGCGATTTGTGAAAGTAAATCCAATAGTTTATATAATTGTGTAAACTATGCACTGTGTCCCAAATACTTTTCCAATACTATAGTACTCATCTATTTACAATTAATACTGTATAACACGAAGCACACTTTGGCATCGTAGACACATTGAAGTTGTCCTCTCTTCCCCATTTTGGTGCTGTTCCTTCATGCTCCCTCTTTTTTTTTCTCTTGACATAAGATTTGAGCTAGACACTTGCTGATGCACAGTGCTAGGCTACAGCAGATGATCATGGAAATCTAGTCAATTTATCAGTGTTCTTTCATAATTTATGTCTATTACATTCACAAGACAAGAATAATGTATGGTTAAAGATTAGATTGGTGGGAAAGAAAGTGTAAATTGGCCTTTCTGAGAGACTGAGAGAATTAGGACAATTAAGTAGGGAATCAGACTTCCTTTACGTCATGCAGGAAGTGCATGAGAACTGACCAGATTTTCTGAAGAAGAAAAAAGGAACAAAGCTAACAAGCATAACTGTTTAAAATCAGAGAGCTTTCAATATTATGTGACAGTTCAGTTTCTAATGACAGGAACAAGGAGATTCTGTGGTGTTTACTTCCTTTGAAGATGTAGGTGCTGATTTCTAAAATTTGTTACAATAGGCTACATTATAGTCAGAACTTCCATTTGCTTGCATTGATCTTTAATCACTGATTCAGTCTCTTGGAAACACTACACTACACAGACACACAATGCCTGATCTTGGCCAAAAGGCCGAGAAGCAATTTCCGCAAACACAGAACACTCTTCCTTGGTACCCAACAGGTCCTGAGCTCAGATCTAAGTATACCTGCCCTTCCTGCTGGGGAAGGAAGTCATAGTCTCCATTCTCTCCCCCTGTTTGACTCTTTGGGAGTTGAAGGAGGAGAGGTGAGAGCGCTACTTGGAATGCTCTCCCCAGAGAGGTCCGCCTGGCACCGTCGTTATTTGTATTTCAGCGTCAGGCTAAGACCTTTTTATTTCAATGATATTTTAACAACTTTTAATATCAGTTTATAGGTTTTAATAGGGACTGCAGGTGGCGCAGTGGTTTAAACTGCTGTGCTGCTGGGCTGGTTGATCAAAAGGTCACCAATTCAAATCTGCACAATGGGGAGAGTTCCCGTTGCTCCGTCCCAGCTCCTGCCAACCTTGCAGTTTAAAAGCATGCAAATGCAAGTAGATGAAAATGTACCACTTCGGTGGTCAGGTAACAGCATTCCGTGCACTTGGGTGTTTAGTCATGCCAGCCACATGACCATGGAGACTGTATGCAGACAAACGCTGGCTCCCTCGGCTAGGAAACGGAGATGAGCACCGCCCCCTAGAGTCAGGCATGACTGGATGTAACATCAAGGGAAACCTTTACCTTTACCTTATAGGTTTTAATATGCAGCCAGGGTGGATCTGGATTTTATCTTTATTATGTTTTATTTATGTAAGCTGTCCCGAGGCTATGCGATGGGATGGCATACAAATGCTCTAAATAAATAAATAAATAAATAAATAATGCTTGGAGAAAGGAACAGAGGAAGTAAAGGCATTCTTCAAATCAGTGGAGTACAGTTTGAACTGGGGCCTGCTCCACAGAATGAGCAGGAGTGCTCTGGAGCACAGCAGGGCTGGCTTACCACACAACCAAGTAAACCATACATGCATTACCATCTAAATGTGGGGAAGGGGCATCTAAGACCATTAAGGTTAACATCTAAAATTTCTTAAATGTACTGCTGATAAGGAAAGGGATCTTTTTCCCATGTGCCCCCACGTTTATATTTTTGTCACTACTGTAATCTCCTTTGACCTGGATTTTTCCATAGAAAGGCAGAAAATAAATGTCCATCTAAACCACAAATTCTTGCAATGAATTCATATCAGACAACAGAATCCCAGGCAGCAACTGATTTTTGACTTGATTAATGAGAAACTATTGTAGCTTTCTATGGTCTTTCTATGGTCGGTGGTCTTCCAGCGTCCATTTAGTTCAGCATTGTTGGACTGCACCTTCCATGATGTCCAGTTTTTATTCAATATATCTGGAGAACACCAGGTTAGAGAAGGCTGTTCTGATGAAACACGTGATCTCAGTACTTTAGGGATCAGGCATTTAGTTCTCTTGGAAAGAGAGCAAGATCTGAGTGGGTTGCTTAGCCAGTGATACACTGAATGAGTTAACAAAGGAAGTGCTTGAGTATGGAGCCTCAGACATATCACATCTACCAAAACAATATTGATTGGCACAGACATGTGAACATGTGAAACTGCTCTCAGTAGCTGTGACCTTACTCCATAGGAGAGTTATGAGTTTCTATATGCCAAAATAAATCTACAAAAGTTACTATTAATTATATTTTAAATATATGTTCTTTTGAAACAGTAAAATTACTATAATTGTAGTTTTGCAAGCCACTGTACCACACAGTTTGATGGAGCTTTATAGATCACCTCAAGTATTTCAAAATGCCACTGCTGACTTTAAGTTTTCTTCTTGATCCTCTCACTCTGTCTCCTTCGACCACTGCTAAGTTTTTATGTGCTGTGCATTGGGCATTGTTCGTGAACCTTGAGGTTCCACTTTGCTTACAAAACACTGCATTTTCCATATGGAAAAAATGGATGTTTTCTACCTAGGAAAATGCAGTTCTTCCTGCATCTACATCCCAAGTACATCCATTGAACTGTAGTTATACAAGGGCGCCTATGATATTTTTTCTGGTAGCATTTCCTGGAGAGAAGAAAGGGTCAGCAATATACTAGCAGCTGCTGTGCGGGTGGGACATTCATTCATTCCTGACTCCTGGCTGAGCAGAGCAGAAGCAGCTGCTTCAGCTGATCTAGCAACTCTGGGACACAATCAGCCAAGCGCCCAGGAAGTGAGTGACCAGGGAGAGCAAACAGGAGTTTGGCGGTGGAGTTTAGTGGGGGAGATCAAGGGGGACATAACGTTTTTTTTTCTTTCTTCTTCTTTCCCCTTAGCCCCCCCCCCACAACTTTCTTTTTGTAACACACTCCCATTTACTAAGAGAAAGCACTCGTTGTGCAATAGGCCCAGCAAAGTAGAACCGAAAAGGTAGCAGAAAGAATGGACTGAGAAGACTCTGTAGTGGTGGAGACCTGCAATGTTTGTTTTCCTGTTTTCCTGTCTGAGGTCAACATGGCCTACACATGCAACAAGTGCAAGCTAGTAACCCTGTTTGAAGAAAAGGTGGGAACACTGGA